TAAAAGACTAGCTTCGAGATGTTGCTTGTGTGTGTCGTCATGTCCTTACTATATACCAGTATACCATCAAAAAACACCAAGACAACTTTCCGAGGAAGTTTTGGAACACCTGACTCATTAACGATTGGAAGGTGGCTGTAAAAACGTGCAGAATTTTATGAGAACTTGTAATAGCAGCGTATTGATGACAAAAACAATTACAGTGAGAGAGGAAAACAACAGATAGCTGTCTCAGAGGGCTACTCCGCAACCTCACCACTATTTAATGCCTGTTTACTTCCTTCTTGTGCCTCGCTATTTATTATTTCCCTGTAACCGTTTCAGCCTGCGGAGTATACAGAATTTGTTGCTGCAATTTCATTCTCCAATCTTCCTGATTCTTCTAGAATAGGTATAGTTGATTGGAGGCTTATCAGATTCATTATTTATACATGTAGAAAAGATTATTTATTACATTAAACCATGATTTTCTTGATGGTAATTATATTTGGGTTCAGCAACTTTGGTAATTGACCCACTCATTTGAGAGGTGAACATCATTATCTATCAGATATAGTTGAATAACGTTGTTGATTAGTTCACGTCTCTTCTCGTCATAAAAAAATTGCCGTATTTCATACATGTTTAGGGCTGGCAACTCTCTTCTGGCACTTGCAAGGCCATTTATAAAGTTAAATCGCAAAAATTTATACCATACTTGATGGGCATGTTTGACAGGATTGAAAGAACAAATTGGCTTAATTGTGCTGTTTGTTCTCAGACTGAAAAAAATTAACAAATAAAAAAGTAAGCGTTACTCTGAAGGGTTTTGTTGTAGGTTTGTGTATTATTTTTTAAGCCATTGTTTCATGCATGATTTCGCTGTAGAAGTTCATGTCATAGTATGAAGGCATTGACATATAGAGAAATAGAAGACTTGAGAATCGGAGATCAAGTATTTATGAGTTATTCACATCTGAGAACATATGTGTTTGAAAATTTACTTAAATTACACCACGAATGCCATAAAGGCATTGAATTTCCTCATCAAACTGAAGAAACATTCATCTTATAATGCAACTTTACATTTTTATGCGTATAATTGGTTGGCGTAATTATATCTTCAGAAACAGCTGCTCAACTGGTACTTAATTTGGATGAGAGCTTGATAAACTGTGTCTTTTCTTTATCAAAGAGAAAAAGAAAGATCATCTTGAACCTAATAAAATTAATAAATTTGGCATGCTGCACCCTTTACCTTTTATTGGGGCCATTTGAAGATCTTTTATGGTATGTGATTATGCAGGGCCTTAGTTTCAAATGAATGCATAGGTGGTGGCATGCCAGATGTGATAGTCCTTGTTTTTAGATACATGTCTACAAATGTCTCTCTGTATGTTTACTCCTCCCCCATCCTCCTATCTTATGCATCTAGAAGCAGAAGGCTGTGCCACTCATGTTTGAGAACGAATTCTTGTCACTGTTTTAACTATCTATCCGTTGTCATCTGGCAGATTGAAGGTCAAGACTTTGTACTAGACTTCTGGCAAAAGTCACTGAACCTCCTGACATGGACAGAAATTACGTCAGGTGTTTGTTGCTGCTGGTTTTGGTTCTAAGCTTGGAACTGTGCCTAAAGGAGCTCTCAACAAGGTATTCAAGTTCCTGCTTTTCCTGCTTTTCACCTTTTAATTTTCATAATGGTTTGCTATGCCTTTGCTTTAAATGTAACACTGGATTGAATGGAATGATAAGAAAAGATTCACGCAGCACCAAACTTATTAGGAATAATGATTATATTGTTGTTGTGTCTCATACTTCAATTATTTCATCACATCTCATAGCATATGGTTTCTTAGGCCACTCCGACATTTTCTGCCTCTCTCCCTTGTACCGATGTTGCCCTCCAGGCAGCCTTCTAAAAGAGGGAGGGCCTTGCTTTTGGTACTTGTCATTGTGTACGCATGCTCACGTATATGAATGGTTTGTTCTCCTCTTGCACATAGGATATGTAGCACTAATAATGTGTCAACTCGAAGGGAAGTAGATCATTATACGAGACATACGACACACACAATAGATTGTCTAGGATTATGATTGTTCAAGGTGCTTGAAAGAGAGAGAATTGACACTTGATTGACTCATCAAGTACAGCTTGTTGGTTTGCACGATTCTCATGTGCTTGTTTGCTGCTGCTTGTTCTGTAGGAAGTCAATCTTATGGCAAAGTATGGATTAGTTTCTGGTACACTGAAGGGTGAACTGTTCAGTATTTTGCTGACACAAGGAATTAGTGGAATGAAAGTCTCTGAGTTGGCAAAATCTTCACCTGTAAGTTTGCATATTATTAAATTAAGTGAGGAGAATATTATTCATTTAAGTATTGTTACAACCCACCATGAGTTTCCAATTTCGATGATATTTGCTATTAATTAAGAATATTTATTTTGTTCTGAAGATTGTTGAGTTGCATCTTGTGGATACAACCCATGACTTAGAGAATTTAATAAGCTCGGCACTGTCAAGTGAAGTTGCATTATTTGAAAAGATTTCTTCTTCTGGATATCGTCTACGAATCAATGCAACCACTAAAGAAGAAGAAGTCAGTCCTTCTGATTGTGAAGACTTTGGGAGCGTTGATGAGATTTCTGAAGTCAGTGGTCGATGCAATGATTCCAAGTGTGAGTCCATGGATTCCAGTCCTGCTAGACTTAAACGAAATCATTGTCAAAAGAAGAATGATACGTTGACAGTGTACAATGAAATTGATGAGAGCCATCCAGGAGAAGTGTGGTTGTTAGGTTTAATGGAAGGTGAATATTCAGATTTAAGCATTGAAGAGAAGTTGAATGCCTTAGCTGCATTAACTGATCTGCTTAGTGCTGGATCCAGTATCAGAACGGAGGTAATCCACCTTGTTGTCAGTTTCTTCTCTCCCTTGGTATACTAGTGCGTTCTCTCATTTCTTGGTAGTAAATTAAGCTTTCGTTTGGCTGCCACTTTGTGAAAATGAAAATGAGTGGAATAATATTTTTTTGAGAAATGGGTGGTTGAAAAAGAAGGAAAAATTTTCAGTTTACATATAATATTATTTTATGGAAGATTGTGTGATTGAAAATAGGAGAGAGAAAAATGAAATTTAATGGAATGGAAATTAATGGAGGCCAAACGGGGTCTAAGACTTCATCATTCTACCTGCCAAACTTTTTTTTATTTTTTATTTTTATATAACACTAGTTAACTTGTATTGGTTCTGCGTATGTTCTAGCTCGATATTTATATTAATTTAAGGCTGATACTCAATATAGTAGGCTTATAGCTAATATAAGTAATACAGATTTTCAGTGAACTACATAGTTACTTGACCATTGTTCAATAATGAATTGGAGGCATTTTCATGTAAGGTTATGAATCAAATTTTTACCTTCATTTTATGAATAGATAAATAAATAAATATTGACACATTTTTGCTTATAAATAAAAAAGTAGAAAAGAAATGAAGTCATGGAAAAACTAAGAAGATGCCTTTGATATATTTTCACTTTCTGATTTTCATTGACTTTCGTACAAGGAATGCAGGTGAAATCACTTTGTAAAATACGGAATTCAGATTTATCTCTATTTTGACTAGTTGTATAAATTAGGAGGTCTGGTCTGCGCAACCTTATAGACAGAATCTGGGTGGTGATAAGTTTAAATTACAAGTGTTAGCTGCAACAAAAATATATTAGTACTCATTATCATCAGTATGATCATCATGATTATTTTGTGGTTTTGGTTATGCTATAGTGAATGTATGATGAGATGCCCATATGAACTTGATTAATACACAGCTGAATAGCTAATGGCTTCTTTCCTCCCAAAAGTCGTGAGAAAACATTACAAGGATAAAGTGGATGGAAGAGTGCGGCTGGTTTAAGTAATTGTTTTCTTTTTACTTAACATTGATGCTGTAATGGATGAAAATATATTGGGACATTTTAATGATCAAGAGGACATGAAAAATGACATAAGAACTTAGAAGTGATATACCTTCCCATATGACATATTAGGGGAAAAACTTTTATTGTGAGTTGGTTAATTGATGAATTTTTCAATCTATGCCCTACTATGACAACTCAAAACTATCAGAACAAGAGGTTTCTTCAACTTTGTTATATTACTAAAATTGAAATATGCAACTCTTTTGGTATTGGTAAAATAATTATGGGAGGTTATGATTTAACTAGTTGTAGAATTTTTGCAATTGATTAAGGTTAGGAGAACTTTAAATTTAAAGGAAGTGAAATTAGCAATTTGGATAATTTAACTTAAAACAGTAAAATAATATTTAGATTCCACAAGAATTGAATTGATGTGATATCTTAGAGGTGAATGAAGTTTTCCATTGACAACATGTTTGGGAGTGCTTAAGTTATGCCTCCGATTGAAAAGAATTTATAACAGTTTAGTGTATAAAAAGCTAAAATAAGTGGTGGATAAGTGGATAGTACTTATGAGTCTCTTGAAATGTGTTGTTGAAAATGAAGATTGACCAATTTATAAATATCTTATAAATTTGCCAAACGGAGTCTATAATTGAAGTTTTGCTGAACATGCACTGAGTTACAGTAGTGATTGTTGATTTTAGTTAACTTGGTTGAGTCAACTAAACAACATGTGGACAAGAGTCAAAGTAAAGAAAATTGTTAAGGAAATATATAAGTTACAATAATCTAGTTTTGGTAAGAATGCAATTAGGTTTATTTCGTTTTTCGTTTTCATATTTATACTATCTTTCTATTTGCATGCTCTTTGTATCGCTATATAATGGAAGAAAACGAGTGGAAGGAAAAATTTTCTTCTCTACAAAAGTTTTCAGCGAATCTATTTATCAACATGGTATTAGAGCAACATCACTAGGGTTTCGTAATTTCTGCTGTCTCTTCTTCTTTCGGAAGTATGTTTGCTGTTGTCGGTCGATTTGTTGATTAACGACGACAGTCGATGTGGTTTTGTAGTGTTCGGTCGGAGCTTTTGTGGTGATCCGACTACTGGGTCTCTCAATTTCTATTGCAGGTCGAGTAATTCACTCTTTAGCAGTGGTCGTCGTCCTTAATTTGGTCGGTATTCTTCATCAGTGACTTTTGTGGGTTGATTATTTGGGGTGTTGAGGTCGGTTGGTAGGCTCCTTTAATTTTTGGGCCAGTTACTTTTTGATTGGTTTGGTGGTTGGGTTGTTTGTTTGGTTTGTGGGCCTGTTTATGGTCCTTTAGTTAGCGTTAGTCGTTTGTGTGGATAATATCATGTCATCCAAAATGGAGTTGTTCAATGTGACTGGACGATGGTACCTGAGAAATTGAATGAAAGAAATTACACTTATTGGGCTATATGTGTTGAGGTGTTTTTGTGGGGAAAAAGGTTTATTTGACCAATTGATTTTGGACAAGCCGTCTACCAAGTCTCCGGACAGTGATTCTACAGAAGCTGATTCTACTCTTAACGATCGATGGGATCTAGAGGATAATGCAATTATTGGACTC